AAATTGACAGTTTTATTTTCAACACCCTCGTAGAAATACATTGTAGAAACTTCATTGCCCTTAAGTTGATTTAAAAAATGAAGAGTTTATTTTATTCATTCGTATAGGGTACTAGCAAAAAAAAACACAAAAGTAATGTAAAAAAGCTACAGTCTGATGTTTATTGTAAAGTTTTGATTTATTCTTAATTTCTCAGTTTTAGTTTTTTTCAATTAAAATTAAATTTTAAACCAACAAACGAAGTTAGTTAACGTAGGCCGATTAAAAATCTAAGTATCTCTGTATATTAAAAAAAACTTAGCTGTATATTATCTTTCAACAACTGACAAATTTTGTATTTCAAACAATAGTATGAATATATTTTTAATATAATATTTAATTATAGTAAACAAATTGCTTCAGTTTAAGTTTTGCAATACACATTAGATAGAAGACAATAAAATAATTATATTGTAAAATGTATATAATCAGCTTATGCGCAACAGCAAAAATTTTAAACGTCGTTCTTACCAATGAATACTAAGACTTGAAAAAGTGTGTGAAAAATGTGACCTATTGCAAAAAAAAGGTTATAATACAGCCTTGACTAGGTCAGTAGATATGGACCAAAATTAAATGATAATAATGCATATTATTATAGGAACACCACCGGACACGGAGAAAGCGTAATATTTTTATAGTGATCACTATGTTTGGGTGTGGTATATTATTTCATTATATACCTCAGGCAACAGTTGGTTGAATAATGTCTTTTAACTAGATTAACACGTTGTCATTAAAATCGTCTGAGCTCTGATTTTTTTATTATTTAATTTAACCATAATTACAAAACCAAACTATATATATATGAGCTCACATTACCAGTGGATGACAGTTTCAAGTTTTTAATTAAACACCAAGTCATTTGATTACAACAAGTTTTGGTTACAAGGGAATTTAACTATTTAATTAATAGGGCCGTGTCAAGTTAAAGCTACTTACTTTATTTATTTAATAGCAATGTTATAATTAACAAAAAAAATGTTACAAAAGTTATTCACTAAATAGTTCTGATTTTCAACGTTAATTGTAATAATAAATTAAAATTATTAAATAAGACAAATATGAATATATTTACATTATTTTCAGTGGTATACAATGCATACCTAATTACAATTCCTTTAATTAACTTTTAAGTACTGTAGAAAAATAAAACTTCTATATACTTTTATATTAAAGGATATATGCTCACAAATCAGTGTACACCCTAAAATAAAATAAATATTAACAACTCTAGAAAATTAATTTATTGTTACTGTTAGACTATACAGAGTGTTCAGTAAGTAAAGAAATAGGTTAATTGTTATAAACAATAAGAACAATAGAAACCCGTTTCCTTACTTATTGAAAACCTATATACATAAACATTGAATATGCATATAACATATGTAATATATTATATTTATTTATTTAATTATTATAACTAATACTGTTGATTTCAAAACAGAAGCCGAGTTTTGTACTAATGCAACTAACTGATTTATAGTATATTTTAAAGATATCTTACCTTACTTCGATATTTCTATATTTCTAGAAAAATTGATTAGTAAAAAAATAGTTTCCACAGACGTAACTTTATAAAAAAAATTGGGGGATTACATTCCCTAAATTTGTTTGTTTAAAAATATATATCATTTTTTTAATTTTAAGGGAATACATCTATGGAGATTTCTCTAGAGATTATAGAAAGTAAATAATATACTAATAATACTTAATAAATGTACGACTAATTTATATTAACAATTCATTAAGTTTTAAAAAAATTTTCACTAGTACAAAGCAAGAAAATGTTTTTAGTTTTAATGCGAAACTGGAAGGGTATTTATAAATTAGTTTCTACAATAATAACTAATAAGAGAGCCAACGCCTATTGAGGTTTTAGATTGTAATGTTATGTCAAAAATGTCGAGTATTTAATATTATGGGATTATTTTATCTCATTCTCTTGTCAAATTTTCATTAATTTTTATTTATAATAAGACACTACCAGAAAAAAAAGTTAGTTATAAAAAGTTTTATCTAGTTCTCGAAATGAGCTAATTTCATTTTTTTTTTATAATTATGGAGTTCATAATAATCATATTGTCAATAGTCAAATTTAATTTTTTTCAAATACTAATTTAAAGTTCTATAATATACGTTTTTTATGAAAATTAAAATTCTAAAATTAAGTAAAATAAAATCATAGTGTCACTTTATTTATCTTATTAGTAAATATCGTATCAAAAAAATTGTTAAATATAAAATATTTACTTCTCAGCCGAACATATTTTACTAAAAAATCAACTTTTCACTATTACGACTTTAACCCCCTCAAAAAATAGAAATAATTTTCGATTATCAGCATACTTCCGAGAACTAGATAATTGAAACTTGTAAAACCTGATTTTTTATAGTACTCTTTTCTATTAAATTAAACTGCTTTTTTAAAACTGCTAAATTTTGAAACGCTGTATAATTTTATTGTTCTATAACCATATAAAAATAACTTTTTAACAACACGCCTAATATTTTTATTGCATGAAAATCTTTATAATTGTTTTATGTACTTTCCAAAAATATAGAAAAGAATAATAGGTTTACATACACAGTTCCGGTTTAGTCTTTCGTTTATTATATCCCCCAAAATTATGTATTTGCATACAAAGTCTAATTAGTAATGTAACAATATATTATTATAACTCTCAGTAAAAATATCTACTCATAGTACAAGTAAATCAAATTGTGTAATTAAACGAATCTTAGTATAACATATATTTAGTTTTTACCTAACAGATTTGTAATAACATATTAATTGATAATTATCAGGATTAAGACCTGTATGATCCCCGAGGTGATACTTTAAGATGACCTCTTCTCTTATAGAAAATATTGCTGTTATAAAAAGTGATGAGCAAAAAAAAAACAGAAAAACTGTTTGTTACTAATCATGACAGGTCCTAAAAATTTGTGATGGGTCTCTAAGCGCATAAGACCCAAGGCGTTTACCCTCTCGTCCCCTTAATCCGAGTCTGATAATTATTCTTTGATTCATATGCACTAATATTTTAAAATCATGTATATTATCATTGTATATTAATCATGTTTAATTTATAAACTATCAAATTATGGACGTCTCAGATACCTATTATATTTTTAATTATGTAGAATAACAATACTACTTACTGAAATGCAAACAAGACAGAAAGGGTAGATTGTAAATAAGAATTAAAGATAAAGTTTCCAACGCAAATTACAATGGAACAATATACCGATCATATAACAAATAATTTTTATCATAATATATTAACATCGTATGAATGTCGTAACTGGGCGAAAAGCGTTAGTGACAATTGGAACAACCCGTGGTAGTATAATATGATAATATGAACAGAGAAAAAAATACGTTTTGATAGTACTGAAGGTAACCAAATTCCTTTTGAAGAAAGATTGAGAAGAAAACAAATTGTATAACTCGATTCATTAAACATAGGCATGATGTTTTTTACTGAACAGCGAAGGCGGTTTATGTAGACATAACAACACGTACGTGTGACAAAATATTTTTGTCTTTGAGTATCTTTATAATGGCTACTCACCTACTGTCGTTCTTTGCAAGTTACTGATTTAATTTTAAAGAACTAAATATCACAATTGAAGGGTTTGGGGCAATAACCGAATAAACTTTTTTTTTTAATTTTTCAGAAGAAGCAATTTTATCAACATTTTTAATTAAAAGCCACTGTAAGATATTTTTTTGTAAATTAAATATACCATAAATAATAGAAATATAGAACTCGTTTATGTACTAAATTATACAGAAAACCCATATTTATTCATAATACTACAAAAAAACATATTTGCACAAATATCTTAGAAAATGAAAATGTAAAAGTTAAAATGAATGTCATTGCAATCACATTCATTTGAACTTTTTGAATCTACAAGTGTACATATACATATGATAATAAAGATGTAATTAAAAAGGTTATATGAATCATATTATAATTAAAGAAATTAATTACATGAAAACATATAACAACAAATATACAGAGTGTTTCAAAAGTAATAAAACAGATTAATTCTGTGGTATTCGAGCCGAAGAGGATAAGTGTAAAATTGAAATTTTAGGAAAAATGAAATTATAAACATTATAATTATGTTATTATTAAAATGTTTGTTTAATTATAATTTTTTTAAAATCATTATGGCAGATAATATTCCAGAAAATAAATATCAAAGTATGATATCAAAGTATAAATTTAAAAAAACTTTAAAAAATGAAAAACACTCTTAACTATTCAATTCTTGATGTCAAATACCACTCTCTAAGGCGAATGTGTTAGAAAAGCTTTTCAGAAACAAATTATGGTAAATATCACAAAATTATTGTCCATAAATAACATTTTCTAGCTTTTTACCCAGTTAAAAATGGAGAAATTTTATTCAAACAACAATGATCTTTCATTTTAAATAAATACATATGATATAATTTCAAATAAAATTAATTATAAGATATTTCCTTCAGTCATGGACGAATTTGTATTGTTTACAGGCGATAATTGATTATTTGCAAAATGTACATGAAAAAAAAATCAAAAGTAAATGAATTTTTATTAATTAAGTCCGAACACGTAGTCAAAAATTAATCTATTTTATAAAAGACTATTGCCTAAATCACTGCTTATTGATATTTCTTAAAAATTTCTTTAAGGTTAGACAACTTAATTAGATGAATGAAATATACTACAGATTCTGTGTTATTATAACAGTGATACTATATAATAATTAACGGTGAATATATTTTTAATTTTCGGTTTCATTCACATTGAAAATTGCTAATTAATTCTGCTTCGTTATTTTAATATTATGACGTTGACTAGTCGTATATCTATTTATTTAACAATGAAAAGTATCATGAGATACTATTAAATAATCGTAGATAGTAGGAGGTTGAAAGAGAATGGTCTGGATGAAAGTAAAATAGAATATAGTAAGAACTGGAAGAGTTAAGTATCATGTCGACAGAAACAGTTAACCATTAAACTCGATAACATAGTTGTCGAGAGTCTGTAGTCAACTAGTCTTGTTCATACGCAGTTTCCGGATAAAAAAAGTAAGTTTAATTTTTTATAAAATCACATTAAATAAGAAAAAATGTTGTTGGTATTTACAAATACTGACATCATTACGTTATAACTTGCAACACTTTTTCAATGATCAATCGATCAATCGATCAATCCTCATATTACAATATATTGCATACAATTTTTTTTCTGGAATACTAACATTTTTTTGGTTTGCGAATTAAAATCAAAAAACCTAAACAAAGTCTGAGTTGCATATCATGTATTAAATTATTCACTTCTAAATTGAACTTTTATACAACTTTATTTAACTCGAAAAATACAATTGGCAATCTAGAATACTTTGAGTAAAAGTTACCAATGCTCCAATTATATTTTTTCAAACTAGGTTAAAGTGTACAGTTATTGACAGGGGTATAGAATATTGGTACATTTTAACATTTTTTTTTTTTTAATAATTAGTCTGTCTATTCGCTTTATATTTGTACTATAAATATAATTTTTAATCAACTGTGAAGGGTACTATAATCAATTTAAAGAGGTTTCAATAAATTAGACTGTTCCAATAACTGTCTGATCTAAATAATATTAGATCTAATGATAAAATAAAGGTGCCAACTGAATATTATACATTTTTTTAAAAAAATCTGTTACTTAAAAAAAAGTATTGATCTTACACGAACTCATAATTCGAATTCCAATAAAATGTTTGATTTATAAAATCTAATAAGAAAATTTCAGTTTATATAATAAAATAAATATGCTGATTAAAACCTAAGTGGTAATTTCCTTCAGGTACCAATAACTGTAAACTTTACCGTGTATAAAATTAAAAAATTAAATTTGGTAGTTGCAAACTTTTTATTTTATAGACAATTCAGATCCATTTCACGGTAGTTATTAATTCTCATAATACATCGTTTAATTTCATTTAACAATTGAAAAAATATTTTTTTAAATCATTCAATTAAATAATTTTAACACAATAAGCTGAAATTATACTATCATTTTGTAATACATTTACATTTTTATTCATGTAATAATAATATGTAACATGAATCGTCTTATATCAAAAATTGTTCGAATTTTTAATTATAATCCATATGATTTATTCAAATAATTTCGCAGGTGAGTATAAGAATATGTTATATACATTTATAAAAATATGTTACACTAAAAAAATATTTTTGTACAGTAATTTTTGAAGAGTTTTGTTTTAAATTTAAATTGTTATCATTAACATTAATGATGTTTTTAAATTAAAATTAAACTTTTTGAATTAAAATCCAATGACTTCGTTAATAAATTTCTTGTACCTTATTATTATTTAAAACAATTCTAAGACGTTATTCTATAGCTTAATTTATTTTACCTAAAAAATAATATTTATTCTTTCATGTGCTACATCATAAATATTTTATTCAAATTTTTAAATAAAACAATATTTTCACGTTATACATTTTTAATTGTAACAGGGGAAAATATTTCTTTTAAATATTTAAGTTATTCTTATTTTTTGAGCATAGTGTAGTATTTTGAACTCTTTAAATGCTGCTAAGCTCTGAAGTTAAGCTTCACCTGCCGTTTTAGGCTGCCAGATAGGTTACTGCAAGTTAACTTCATCAACGGAAAACACTATGTTTTTGTTTCTTGATACAGAAATAAAGCAGGAAACCACTGTGCTAGGTAATTACCAAGGATATACTAGATTAATAGAATATTTCTGTCGTAAACCAAACTAAATAGTTGAAAAAAACTTCTTTGTTATAAATATAGAAATACTAATACTATTTAAGTCACCATCTGCTTATCTATTATGGTTCCAACATTTAACAGAATTTTTTTATTTCATTTTATAAATCTTTGAGATATTTATGTACTACAGATTACAGATATTATTAAGTTTACAAATGTCACACTACATTTGTTCTTAAAGTATATGAGTAGGATTTTTCATAGTTTAATAATATACATTTATATGACATAATTATAATTATAATTTAAAACTCTAATCAAAATTCTAGTGTAATATGCTTAGTCTATTAAAATCTTAAGTGAAAATATGATAGGCAATGAAATAAGACTCGTTTAAATTATACTCATGTACCTACTCAACCTTTGCCCCATAATACCAACCCATATTAATACAAAGTTGTTTACAATTTATATTTCCAGTTAACAGTTTATCTCATACTCAATAGTAAGTCATACATTTAAAGCTACTTAAATATCATAATATTCATTGCCTATTCGTCCAAATATAATAATAGATAATAAAAAAAAATAAGTGGATAATTGTCTCTTCTGTATATTCAAATGTACTTTTTCTTTTTACCATAGTAATATTATCTACTATAATCATCAAGGCGTAAAACGAAAACTATGTAAAGATGGTTTGGTTACTTGCAATGGAATAAAATAAACTGCATATTTTTCTAACGCTTTCCGATTATGTTTATAGCATGAAAACGATAATAGTATTAAGTTCAGTAGTTGTGATACTACAAGTAATTTACATATCTGCTGCTGGTGGAGACCGACAACCCCCAACATTTTTCCAGACTGGAAAACCATTCAATGCGCCAGGAGCTCCTTTACCCAAGTTTGTTGGAATAGGCGGAAGTCAGCCTCCTCAAGCCTTTCGATCACAAGCGCCACAAGTTGATGAAGAACAAGAAGATGAAGAGCAGCGGGATGAAGAAGAACTTAACCAAAGAAACATTCTTATACCGACACCTTTACCATTTAGACCCCAACCAACACAACACCAGGTATAATAACGTATAAATATTAACAAAGAACATTAATTATAATATATATATATAACACTTTAAATATTATTATAAATTATAATATAGAGTTCAACAATTTTTGTATTTCAAGCCAAATTCAGAATTCTTAGAAAAAATTAAAATATGAACGCTAATAAACAACTTTTTTTTTATTTGAGAATTTAAATGAAAGCTATAATTGGCATTTGCTTTTGTCTATTTCAGTTCGATGTATAAACCAGAAATTAAATTAAAATACCGTTTTTCTTTTCTGTGTAATATTCATTACCTGAAACTGCATAATTTTTTTCCAATTTGAGACCACCAGACTTGAAGCTTTACCTTGAAATGTTTGATAAAACTTCTATTTAAATTAATCGTAAAAAAATCATTTTAAATTTTTTTCATTAATAGTTAAGAAATCTAAAGGAAAGAGAATCTATCATAATTAAGAAAGCAAATATTATGTACTTGATTATTAGAAATATAAAAGTCTAGATTTTTTGCAAAACACTTTATTATAAGTCTCCCATTTATTAGATTACTCAAAAACATAATTCACTCTTCAAACATTTGTGACAAAGAGAGGCTAATAACTTTTGAAAAATGTTAAAAATTCTGTACTCAGGTTAAAAATATTTACTGTTATCAGAACCGCATTTAGGAATTATGCCACCGGTATACTCATACATACCGCTACTAATAACCTATTTATTTTGCTTATCAAACAAATTTTTCTCTATTTTTTATGTACTGCTATTTTTTTTATATGAATGAACAATATATAGGTCTTCAACTTTGTAATTTATATTGCTCTTTATTTCAGTGTCACCCTTAGAACTTTACGCACACCCATATGTGACCCTGGACGTATACCAAATTTTATAAATTGTATAAATGAGCGAATAAAAAACTTTAATATAAATAATAATAATAAAATTTCCGTAGTTATTAAAGAAGCTATTTTAATAATAAAAATTAAATCATTCATCATAGCTGTATTTTACTTTAGTTCAATCAATTCCGTGTACCTCCATCGCCATCTCCCCAAACTTTACAACCAATTCGCATAAACAGACCAACTGAAGATGCGCCAAGAAGACAATCTCAACAACAGCAACAACAATTTAAACCATTTGCCCATCAACCTCTATCGGTAACATTTTTAATTAGTTAAAGACAGTACTTATTTTAAATTTAAGTTTGTAATTCAATAATAGTTACTATTATTAAATAAAGACAACGCTAATAGTCGGCAATAATAATAGTTCAAAATTTTCAATTTTATGACTTTTGTACCATCAAAATATATAAAAAATATTGAATTATAAGTCGACAAATTTTTGTTAGTATAGTTATAATCATTTCTCGGAAAATTTTAGGTAAACATATTTTGTAATTAAGTAACATGGAAATTTCTATTTTATTTTCTCTCCAGTAAAATTTATTCATTTTTTAAATCACATCACTATTCTTTTCATCAGGTGACATATTTAAATAAATACATAAAATACATTGTTAGTATTTAAATATTACTATGATTTCTTCAAAAATTAATACAGTTTTAAAATTAAAATAAAAAATACATTCTTAAGGCTAAATGCCGTACTCACAGCTTTCATCGTTGGTAATTTCAATATTATTTTGCAATGTATCACGTTAGTATATATCAAACGTAACTTTTTAATTAAAAATAATCTTATGTTTTATGCATTACATTATTTATTTTCCTATAAAAATGAACAAAACTTTGTTTAACTTACAATTAAAACAATGAACCAGAATTAAATTATGATTTAAATTGATTAATTATAGGAAGAAGCCCAAGAATTAGAAGAAGAAAAGGAAGAACCTGATCGTCTTACTGAACTTTTACCACAATCTAAATTCTCGTGTAGTGGTAAAAAAACTGGATACTATGCCGACGATGGTCTAAACTGTGAAGTATTCCACTATTGTCAGGATAATGCAAGACATTCTTGGATATGCCCAGAAGGATTCGTTTTTCATCAGGTTAAAATATAACATTTAAAACTAACAGATAGACTTTTATATATAAATGCATACTACAATCATCAATCTTATAAAAATAACTTTTAAAAGTAGGTTGGGAACTTTAATTAATGCTTTATTTTTAAAGTAGATATTTACAAACGCCTTTAAGTTCTTACCATGTATAAAACTAAGTATTTTTTAAACAATTCACCTTTTTGAAAATAATTCTCACTTATTAAAATATATTGAACCATAGCACTTTGAGTTCTTTTAACTTCTAGATTAAAAAAAACTTAATCATAAACTATATGAAAATATAAGTACTTATACTTACACCACCTTAACACATGTAGCCTGTGACTTTATTTTGATTTATTGAGAAAATTAAATAATTTTGTACAAATAAAAGTAAAATTCGTATTTTTGTTATTTTATATTCTTATTTGATTGATTGTACATAGTTATATAGTTGATAGTGTACAGCTAATGTATGAACCAATATTAAGCTTTTTAGCTCTTCAAACTATACCTATATTTTGTAATACAACTTAAAAAGAAAGCTTTTTTTTCAACGTTAAGAAATGATAATAATAACATTTTGGAATTTTATACTAGGTTCATTTGATTTGTTTACCCCCCAGCAGTGAAAATATCTGCAAAGACTCATCGCAATATCATTTTGTTAACGATTTCTTGTATAAACCTGTCAATGCCGAAGAAGCTCAAACTAGGCCTAATGTTACCATCAGATATGCAGACAGATATTATCCAACTAACAGCTTCGAGAATGAAGAAGAATACGAAAGAGAAGAAGCACCACAACATAGACCACAACAATTTCGACAACAGCCAGTTATAAGACAAAGAGTACAACAACCACAACCACAACAGACACAGCAAGTACAAATCTTATCCTCTCCAAGGCCAATTATCTTGCAACAACAGCCACAACAATTTGCAAGACAACCATTGCCAAATCAAGTGTTCCATTCATCTGAAGAAGTCAATATACCACTTCAACAAAGGAGGCCTACTTTGCAATCACAACAAAGGCCACAATTCCAACAACAACAACAGCAATCGAACGAATTTGACTTCGAAAGAAAATAATTTGATGAGATGATTTTTGTTATCACACATCACACAACTACTGGCTATTATATAATTTGTATGATAAATATCAGCACATATGTATTTATATTTCAAAACATTTAATAAGTATTATAAAATAAGTTTTATAATCTTATTGTACATATAATTTTCAAACAAAAAAATTATATAAATAAACAAAAATGTATATTAATTTAAGGTGTATATTGAATACTTCAAAAGGGACATATTTTATTCAATCGTTAATAATTTTTCGAATATTATTTTCAAAATGAAAATCTAAATGTTTTTTTCTTAATTTAATTATTAGCTACCAAATATATTTTTGTTACTTGATAATTCTTAATTACTTTATTTTTTTGCCATTATTTAGTGTAGGTAATCTCCAAAATTATTATAGTATTAATTATTTTTTATAAGTATATGTTTATTAGATATAAATAACAATCGTTATTGATGTATTATACAAACTTTTTAATATACATCTAGTATGTGTTTAATTTGAAAAATCATTTTTGTAAATATATTTAAAGTTTTTTAATATTATGTGTTAATATTTCTAGGAATATCTCTATAATTATTAAAAGTGAAGAACAATTTAATTTCACTGCTATGTAATAATTAAATAATATTAATTTAAGCAAAGTTGTTAAAAAACATATTTATTAAAAATATTTTTTTTAAACATAAATAAACAATTTAAAACGTCCCACAATATTAATTTTAATTTTGACATTTTTGGTGTTTTAAACAAGCAGTATTTAAAACGTAACAACCTAGATTTTAGTCGATTTCTTAAATTTCACTACAAATAAACCCTAAATTTATTTATAATAATTAAAACGAACTATACAATATGTTAGTCTCATATATGGTTAAAATTTATACTACAATATTTAAAATACAATTTGTCCCGACGTTTATTCTACTATAAGAAATCAGTCTAAATTGATTTTAACTTCACTCAACTAAGCTACATCCTCACTATGCCGCGATTCCACTGTACAGGATTTTTTTGATTTCTCTCAAGTTTTTATAACTTAATAATCCTAGTGGCTACTTTAAAATATTATTTAAACACTTTTCACTACATAAAACAAAATAATAATAAAAATTAGATAAAATTTCAAACAAGATCTTTTTAATTTTAATTACTCTTCGTAAAAAAAAGAGCAATATCTGTAACTAATTTTAACTTAAACACAATGTACAACCCATTATTTAGTTCATTATAGTTGAATTTGAATACCTGTAAAGAAATCCATTAAAAACTTTTTTAAAAAATTTAAAAAAAAATGTTTTTGATCACAATGATCAATTTAAATTTAAATACATTTACAATAAATGTACAAATTAAAACAAAGAAATTTAAAAATTGAATAAAATTACATAACTTATTATGTATTTTTTGTATATTAAATTACTATTATTCATTAAATAGGATCTATTGAACTTAAAAGAATACATAGTGTCTTACCAGGTTTTGACATTTTTAATAACTTTTGATCAAGTGAATACTTCGCGTTATTTTAATTTTTGAACATTTATAGTTTTTAACTACATTAAAAATATATTTTATATTAATTATTTTTAAAAATAAAAAAATTTTAGAATAGGACGAGATTCTAAATAAACACCAACACGAGCTATAACCACACGCAATACATACCTACTCTATGTATTAAAATGATTGTACCTCAATAAGTACTTATCCTAAAGTTAATATAGGACTTATTACAATATTTTGTAAAAAAAAAAAAGCTAAAAAGATAACTACTTAAAAACTTCTAAAAATTTAAAAAAAAAATTTAGTTTTTGTTTTTTGAAAATAAATAAATTTTTTACGTAATCTCAAATTATTAATTTAAAAATAAAAATTAATACAAAATATTCACTAGATCAAAAGTTATTAAAGATACCAAAATCTGATGGAACTCTTTGTATATCCTTGTAATATAATAGCCAAATATAAAAAAAAATAATAATAAACTTTCACTAGAATATAAGAAATTTCTTAGAGAAAGACATCTAATTTTTAAAAGTGAAATTTTTTATTTTTTGCTACCTTATTATCAATTTTGAACAACTATACATTCGGAACACATTGTGAACTGGAGTAATCATTGCAGATATTGCTGTCATATTCCTCCATGACCACATAATTATATGGTGATGATACAATTTGTTTTCTTTTGGAAAGGGAAGTGAAACATTTTCTTATATATAACCATCTCCCTCAAAGAAAAAAAACCCTAAGCACCCCACTGATATTATAAACTTTGGTTTTTAATTATACAATTCAATAAAAAAGCGATAGCACAGTGTGGACGTGGCATAGTTGGGTCCAGTATAGATAATATTTCACAGTGATTAAAATCACTATCATAAGAAATGCTCCGATGAAAATCTGTATGTAGTGTTTAATTTTAAGAAATTGGTGAATGATTAAAAAAGCAGTATCAACTCCTATTTTCTTGATTATATCCTGATTATTGGTTCTTTGATTTAAATGTATAATCTATAATTCTTCTTCTTTTTCCTCGTCTTAATCTCAACTATTTAAGGTCGGTCACCCTTATCCTAAACTTCCACTTGACAAGAAATCCCACATTATCCACGCTCACATCAGCTGTCCTCAAATCGCATTCAATAGCATCCCTCCATCTCTTTTTTGGTCTTTCACTACCTCTTCTTCCTTCAAAGTTCACTTCTATAACTGTTCTTACAGCTTCCATTTCTTCTCTCCTCATAGCATGGCCAGAAGTGAAAAGAACCAAAAGTATAATATATGAATAAATACTTATTATAGTAATTAAATTAAATTTTGAAATTAATATTCAATAATTTAATATTGTAATTTATACGGAGAAATTATAAAAATAATAAAGTAGTTTAATAGAGTATATTTCTTTACTTTTAATGCACCCAAAGAAAAACCTCAATCAAAATTGAAAGAGAAATTTTATCAAGGGTTTATGATAATGTTTTATTAATACGAACAAAATAACTATTCTTATAAATAATTATTGTTCAAGACAAGAAAAAAAAATATCATATTGATAAATATATCATTGATTCAATAGTAATGATATATTTATCAAATTGAACAATGAATTTATTATATAGATCGAGGTTTTTCTCTGGGTGTGAGTATAAAAATTTAAAGGGTTTGATGCAATACTTTTTAATAACAAATTGTTGTTACTTATGAATGCACATATATATATGAACATACTGTAGTACAAGGAACTTTCATCAGGAACAGAAGTATAATTTTTTAAATCTTTTTCTGTCACAAATTTTATAAGTATACTATAAATTGTATTGTTAAGATATATATAGTCAGGAAATTTTATAATTACTATTTATAGTAAATTTATCAGAAAAGACATCAAGCATCTATAAAAAAAAATAATATTGATCCATACATTTTTCAAAAAATTATAGCATTATAAAGTTAAAAATATAAAAAACAACTTTTTTACAAAAATCGTATTTTTTTTTAATAACTTTGATGTCTATTTTCACCATGAAGACAACATAAAGTCCGAAATTTTTTTTTCCATAATAAAGTATATTACATTACCTTTAATTTTAAATCCCCCCCGTGAACAGTTAAAGGATTAAATTTATAAAAAAATATATACTAAATGATAGGTAAAGGCATCAAGCATCTATAAAAAAAAACTATATTGATTTGTTCATTTTTGAAAAAGTTATGGAAGTTTTAAGAAAAAAAAATTGAAAAAATTAGCGATTTTTAAATTTGTAATTTTTTTGAAGGTTTCCCCCATTTACCAAGAAGTAGAGAAAGACCAAAACTGTCAAGTGGAAGTTTGTGATAAGGGTGGCCGACCCCAAGTAGTTGGGATTAAGGCAATGAAGAAGAAGAAGATCACTATAGAATTCGAGAATTGATTCATGTATTTTTTAATAAGTTATAGCAACACACCCAGAGAAAAACCTCGATCTATAAAATAAATTCATTGTTCAATTTGATAAATATATCATTACTATAAAATCTATGATATATTTATCAATATGATAATTTTTTTTCTTGTCTTGAACAATAATTATTTATAAGAATAATTATTTTGTTCGTATTAATAAAACATTATCATAAACCCTTGATAAAATTTCTCTATCAAAATTGATTGAGGTTTTTCTTTGGGTGCATAATATTAAGAAATGCAAAATATAATATCAAGAATTTTTTCACAAAAATATCATATTTTAGCAGTCATTTTCACTATGATGACAAGTCCAGAGGTCAATTTTTTTTCAAATTAAAGTATATTACATAAGCTTAAATTTAAGGTATATATAAAAGTGTCAGTATTTCCGAAACATTTTCAAAAGTTAATTTATTGTGAAACAGTTGCCATTTTGAAACCCTCCCTTTGGGCTGGTAAAGGGTCAAATGTGTCACAAAATTATATCAAATGATAGGTAAATACCTAAGGTATCTATAAAACAAATTATATTGATTCGGTCATTTTTAATAAAGTTATGACAGTTTTAAGTAAAAAAAATTGAAAAAATTTCGAAACTTATCGATTTTTAAATTTGTAATTTTTTGAGTATTTCCTCGTTTACGGTAAACAAGGGAATTTTTTTTAATTTTTGAGGGTAATGTTTTCGACTAGATTCGATTTGTGATCTTTTGACGTATTCTTCATCAAAATCGGTCCAGCGAGAGCTGAGATTAAGCGTTCACAGACACAAAAAAAAAAAAAAAAAGGTACAAAAAAAACAATAGATGATTTTTTCAGACAGTCATTGAGTATGACTGATGGTAATGAACAGATAAATATCAAAAAACGGTAGCACAGTGGGGTCGAGGCACAGTGTGGACGAGGCATAGATGGGACAAGTATAGATGATATCTGACAGTGATTAAAATCACTATCATAAGAAACGCTTCGATGCAAATCTGTAGATAGTGTTTCCTTTAGAGAAATTGGTGAAATATTTTAAAAGCAACATGAACTCTTATTTCTTTAATTATATCCTGATTAGTAGTTCTTTGATTTTAAAATATAATATATGAATAAATACTAATTATAGTTTTTAAATTTAGTATGAAATTGTGAGGCCAGCTATGATGTATGGTTCATAGTGTTGGGCGGTTGATAAGAAAGTAGAGCAGAGAATAAGTGTAGCAGAGATGAGAATGCTTAGTTGGATGAGTGGAGTGAATACAGAAGGTAGGATAAGGAACGAGCATATAAGAGGAACTATAGGTGTTGCGTCAATCGTGGATAAGATGACAGAAAATAGACTTAGATTGTTTAGTCATGGTATGAGGAAAGAAGAATCGAAAGCTGTAAGAACAGTTATAGAAATGAATGTTGAAGGAAGAAGAGATAGAGGAAGACCAAAAAAGAGATGGAGGGATGCTATTGAATGCGATTTGAGGACAGCTGATGTGAGCGTAGAAGATGTGGGAGATCGTGTCAAGTGGAATCTTAGGATAAGGGTG